TCCTTCTGATGCTTAAATGAATAGGGTTGTTCACATCCCATCATCTTGGAGCTAGAAGTGAAATACAGGAATAAATTTTTGTGGCATTTTCTTCATAAATGCAAAATTGATCTGAATTTACAAAGTCTTTGTCGGTTAAGAATTACGTATTTCTATTTACAAGTGACAGTTTTACATTTGATTCAGCAATACAGTAAAATTTTACCTGTACGAGAAATATTAAAAAATTATGCTTCCGTGACATGTTTAAACTGAGAAATCATTTTCACTGTGAGTCTTTGATAGAAGACCCTGTGTGAAGCGATTCTACTAACTTGATGGGAGTGCTGTTGATTTGCAAAGCAAAAATAAGCTCTTGTCATCATTTTTATAAATGACTTTGTGGTGTCTCGTACAACTGCACACTGATATGTAAATGTGCTTTTGACATTAATGAACTTTTTGACACTGGATTTTCTTACTGATTTTTCTCTTTTTGTAAAGTTATACTGTGAAGTAGGAAACCATATAAACAAATACAAAGCATTCTCATTCAGCAGCGTAGAACAATGCAATGGGGGAAAGCAACTTAGCAGTAACAAATGAAGCCTACTTCAATTCCTTTAAAAAGGGAAATAAAGACAAGCATACCTGTTGGGCTCTGCACTAATTCTGCTGTGCACTTTATTAAAAAGGGGAAGGAAGGAGGAGGATGATGTTTCCAGGTGCTTCTTTCCAAGCCATCAAGCTGAGCTATTCAAAATGGCTTCCAGACCTTAATTTAGATACAAATAAAGGAGAAGGGATGGAACTCCGATGTTTTGGACTGTGAGAGTTTGAAAGCATTCTTAAAGAGCTTTATAGAAACATTGCTTTGGGAATGGACTGTGTATGAGATGTATGAGCAACTGGCCCTTTCAGTTTATTTGGTTTATCTGTATCGCTGTATTAAGACTGTCACCTCTGGGAATAACTGCTTAGTAGTGGGGGACACTTGTTTTTAGGATGTCCCTTACAATGTATAATAGGCATTTTTGGCTTATAAAGGTAAGGGAGAGTACAGACATTTGTTCAGAAGTACAGACGACTTTTTTTTTTACTGTTTCCGTTTACTGCTTTCCATTAGAAAGAGGGATTGTGCAGTCAAAAATACTGCATGTCACAGCCAACTGGTTTGTGTTAAAATAAATCACATTTGTCATTCTTTCCATGCAACGTTTTCATAAGGGTTTTATTTTGCAAACCAAGAGGACAATATCTGTGTGATAGCAGTTGTTTTTTCATAGGTGGGTTCTGGTTTGTATGTTGTTATCCAGGAAAAGAGAATATGGCCTGTGCTTGAAATCTTCTCATAGGGTTTTTAGCAGAAAGTTTGAATATACAAGCCTGTCCATTTTGTAAGCAGTAACACCTTATCTGAGTGTTTCAGCACAAATATTTTTCACGTACAATAAGTAAAAATGGAAATTTTACTACAATTAAAAGTCAGCTTTTCTTGCTTTGATTAACAGATGGTCTTTTCTCATGTGCTTCATAGTCTTGGCAATGTGTGTTTTAATAGAGTTAGGGACTGCCCTGCTCCGAGTATTTTGTACCAAAGACTACTTCAGCTTCAGAGGAAGATATGAATTGAGCTTAAATAAGTAAAACACACATCTTAACTAGTTTTTTCTTGCCATCCTGAAAAAGGAGCTGGTGCACAAATTTGGTGAAACTTCCTTCAACCTCCTTTAAACAGCACTTTTATCAGTTAGTATTTGTGTCTTCGTATTCATTAGTCATTCCTGTCTGCACTGTGACTACAAGTGAACTGTAGTACATAAAATAACCAGGTATTAATATCTATGATTGCAGTGTGGCCTAGATGATGGAGTTAATAGGAGGACTTATTTGAATGTTTATGAATCTGAGAAGGAAGAGTACTTCTGGGCATTGGAGCACAGTATACATTTAAAGACTCTAAGGAGTTGGAAGGGATGGAGCTCTTTTGGAAGACTGGATTTTTAAATTTGTTAAGTAGGTAAAGTGGGGTTATTTCCAGGTGGTGGAACAGTGAGAGTGTGTGAGTAGACTCTTAACACCTGTTGTGAACACAGGAAAATGGGCCAGAGTCCTCTGGTGATCTAGTGTGGCTAGAGTAGAAAAATAAAGATATCCTGCGTCTAACTTGGGTAAGCTGACAGAGGTGTTTAAGTGCTGAATTTATAAAAAAACCTCAATTTGTTCCCACAGTATATGTATATGTTCTACAATGATTAAGCTGTGTCTGTAGGAGGTCTGTTCATACTACACCTGGTTGTCTAGACTGCTGCCACTGGTGCTTTAGGATTATGAAATCAAGCAATTGTTATTCCTAGTTTAATAACTAAGAATAGGAAAAGAATATTTATATAATTACAGAATTGTTTAGGTTGGAAAAGACCCTTAAGATCATCAAGTCCAAGTGTAGACCTGACGTTGCCAAGTCCACCACTAAATCATGTCC